TCATTCTCGTGTGGCTTAATAACTTGAGCAGCCTAAAGCCCCGTGTCTCTTCTCCTTTGTCCCCTCTGCTCTAAATATCTGCTGGCCTTCTGTACCAACCCTAGCAATCAACAAGTGGTTGTTTTCCCAGACCACCACCTTAGCTGACTGACTTGCTTTTTGTAATTCCCTTGCCACAGCAAAGACTCCAGAACAGTAAAATGCTTAGTTTTTTTCTAATGCCTAATGAAAGAGTATGAATGAGTGAGCAACACACGTTGCTCCAAAACATATGTTGCGTACTACATAACTTCATAAAGGGCTGGCAGTTTTGCAGAAAGGAATTTGGCTCCTGTTCTCAAAGTAATGTAAATGAGAGGCAGTAAATAAAGAAGCATTGCTAAAGCTTTAGATGCTGAGGGCTATCACCTGGCTGTGACCAGACTCCTTCCTGAAAGAGAGGACAACATGCCATTCATATTTTTACATGCTACCATTATTTACAGCTGTATATCCTCACCGAAGCTAGAAGTAGGAGGAGAGAGGAGACAGAACTTGATCTCTACTATAATGTCATGGAATTAATATATGAGGAAGGAAACATTTAACTGCTGTCATCTGCCCACCACTTCGAACGTGGTGGAACACAAGTTGTTTAAAAAAGTGAATTTTCCTGCTTGTTTGGTGTAATGACCTAGCTGAGCTGCTCCAAGTAAAAGGATGTTGTTATCAATGATTGCAAGTCTCTCATTCAGTGCTTTTGTTCAGACTTATCTGGTCACGTGCAAAGGAAACAAGTGTGACAGCAAGTGCTAAATAATCACACTGAGCTGATCTTCTAAAACAGAGATGACTTAAGGATGGAGGTAGCTTGCTCTTGCTTTTTATGTGGACTGTCCTCTTTCTGGGCTCATGCTGCTGGAGGTTTCCTGTCTTGCACAAAAGATGAGTCTTACTAATTGTTTTCCCCTATGCTGTAGCCGTATCCTCTTCAAGTAAACTGATCATTTCTGCTATATCTGCACACTTAGGCACAGACATATAAAATAACCTATCAAGAACAGGCAGTGTGGTAAGGGTTTTGAAGTCGAGCTTTTTGAACTTTCCTGTAACCTAGTCTGTGAAACGAGTAGGGCAGAGTCTGGAAATGTAAATCCAGTAAAAAAGCAGCATCTCATCTTAATCTGTTTTTGCTGGTCAGAGGTATCTGCTTAGCTCCCAGTACTTCTTCCCACGCAGCTACGCTCCAAGCTGCTGGTATCTGTGCTGTTCTTGGATACTACTCCAACAAACACAGCGTCGCATAGTCTTACCCAGCACAGAACAATGCCTGTGACCCTGCTGCCCTTCATCCAGCCTGAAAGCCAGCCAAAATGCTTTCACTTTAGTCTTTTTTTTTTTCCTCTTTACTTTGTATGGAAGCAAATGCTGAGGCAAGCATGGTCTCTGAAGGGCAGCAGAGGTACAACTGCAAGCAGTTGCTGTAGCCCTGAGGCACTGCTGGAGCTAAGGATATAGATGATGGTCCTTCCTAGTCAGTTTGTTCCAGCTGTTCTGGAGGTTGCAGCATCCTACCGTGGTAGTTCCTGCTTATCCCAGAGAGCAATGCAGCAGAACATCTAGTTAGGATGCCATCTGTTCCGGGCTCTTCACACCTCCAAACGCTGTTTAGTCCTGCCATACTGATTTCTTTTAGGGTGGTGAGAAACAGTTGTTTTCTTCCCAACCTCCCAAGGGTTTTTTTTTTTTTTCTCCTTGAAATCACCTGAGTAGCATAAATTTCAAGTTACCACAACACTACCATGCTTCAAGTCTGTGTTACATGTTTAAGTATTTGAGTTGTCCAATAAATCTTTCCTAATGGGAATTACATTTAGAAAGTACCATGTAGCATAATTAATGCCTGGTCACTTACCTTGTCTCTGCAGCTTTGAAAGACTTCCAGCCTTCTTGTCTGAGCATGACTTTGGCTGATCGTGATTTGGTCTGGCTATAAATAAGGTCAATATCAATGTTAGCGGTTCTATTGTAAGGTGACTTCTAGAGCTCTTACCTTGATCCTTGTACAGTGCTGCTTTTCCCAGACACCGGTGTTCTGAAATAATTTGCCTGTGTTATGTGGTTTTTTTTTTTTCTTTTTAGTGCTTAGCTATTACGCTACTGAAAGGGGCATGCCAACTGATCTGAGTAAAAACAGATAATAGAGGTTTGCCTGGCTGACAAAGGCCATTGGTAGAGAAGAAGCTTCTCTAATAGCAATATTTGGTAGAATCTGGGGTAGCACTGTGAGTTACGCTGCATCTGTGCAATTCAAACAGTAAAGGGGAGCATGGCATATGAAACCCTATCCGTTATGGTATTCAACACCACTGAAGTCTGTGGACACATGGCTAATAATTTGAATACCAATTTTCTGTGGCAACTGCTATCTCCATCTGTTTTCATGTGGCTCTGAATAACCTCATTTGATACTTATGTTCACTGTTTCTTTGTATGCACTGGAATGCAGCCCACTTCAGAAAACATGTAATTCAATTAACTTTCCCCAGGAAAGTGGGATCTTTTGAATTTGTGTGGTGTGTGTATGATGTGGCGTAGTTCCCTCCCGCCTCCCCTTTGTCCCTTACAGTCAGTCAGTTCTGCAGAACCTGTATAGGCAAGAACTGTGGAGCAGAGAAGTCTTCCATCTTTTGCCTCTAAATATGGGAGGGTTGCTCTTCTCCATCAGTTTCTGAAGCTGTAACTGTATTGGAGGGAAGGGTGGGGAAGATAAAAATGTTGGGAGGAAAATGTGGCAGAGTGGAGCTTTGCCCTGCTCTTCATTCCCTCCAGGATTATGTTGTCAGTAGACTTTTGGGAAAGAGAGACATGGTTGTTGCAAGCTAATTAGGTTTGGCCACTTCTGTTCAAAACTAGCTGGGAACTGGAGGTGACTTCTGCTTCAAGAATCTTGTACATGTGGTAGTATTTATACAAACTGGACGCTGATGTAGCCCAGTCATGGGTCATCGCCTGCTGCAGGGGAGTGCGGATGAAACAGACTTCTTTCCAGAGCAATGCTGTTCACTTTTTCCAGCCTGGAAATTTAAGATTGACAGTTCAGAGCTAAATATAACCTGGCTGGCTGCAAGGAGTGACTCAGATGCAACAGGCAGATCTGCCCTATCACCATTTCCCAAAAGCCATGCTGGCACTCGAACATGAGTAGCAGAAGCAGGTGGGGAACTAGCTTGAATTTTAATCTATTTCCATGCAGTTGTCCTGTCTTCTGTTGGCACAACTGACTTAGAGTCAAGAGGCAGTCTCTGCTTTGAAACAATTCTTAGGGCTCTCAGGGGAGCACTCTCTGGCACTGCAGGCCCAGTGTCAGCTTACCAGCCCAGCAGCAGACTTCATATGCTTCTGCCGGATGTCAAGCAGAGACCACAAACTTGTAGCATCCTCTTCAGCAGTGGGGTGGACTAATGACTCATTGTATTTCTTACTTTTTCCAAAGCTAAGACCAGTTCCAAAGAACAGTAAATCTTGATGACAATTGGCTTTATCTGAGCAGCATTATGCTGCTGTGGTAGTTGCAGCACCTCAGAGCATTCAGCAGCAGTGTAATTAGAGCAATGCACATACAAGCGAGTAAATCAGAGCACTCATGAAATCATGTAATGCTTATTAATGTATAACTGAAATATAATAGAGCCTGGATTTTGTGCAGAGTATATGAACAAGCAAAGTCACAGCTGAAAGCTGAGGGCAAAACACCCTCTAAATACTTGGGAAAGTGGTTTGAGCAGGTGATGTTCTCACCCTGGCCCAAAAAAAGGGACACATACTGTTTATACTCCAAAGCTGTTCCCATCCGGTGGCTAGGTTTACTTGGTAACTCTGATAACGATAATAGAACACAAACCTCAGCAGCGGCCTTCTTGCCGAGCCTAGCTCTTCTCATACTTCCTGCAAGACCTTTATCCGATACGACTGTGCCTTCTGACTCTTGAGCCATGCTTGTTTGGGACTGGCTTGCATCTGTTGTGCTGATGGCGGTAAGCTCCTTCTACAGGTTCACAGAAATTTGTCTCGTTTCAGGTATAAACCAAGAAGAGGGATTATTCAGAACAGTAAAGTGGAAGTTAAAGAAATAAGGGGTGAAGGTTCAGGCTCTAACACTTGCTCTCATTCAGTATCTTCTGGAATCAGAACTGTTGGGAAAATCCTTCCCTCGCCCCACCACACAACCTGTCTCCAGGTTATTCTAAAGTTCCCTCGGAATCTGATGCTGACTTGGCAAGGGAATGAATATAAGAACTTGCATCAGTATCATGGTGTTCTCCAAGACCTGATGTAGGTCTGCTGTAAGCAGGCCTCTTGCTTGAGCAGAGACAATAAACCAGCCTTGGTGGTAGGGTAGAGAATGACTTTCATTCCCTTCTTGCTGAGGTGAATTGCTATTACGTTATTTCCAGGTACTTACTCTGTGAATGCTATGCATCAAACTTCTTAGGTACTGAAGGCTTAAAAACATTTTAAAATAGTAAGTTCCTGTACTCACCACCCCTCTTTCATTTCTCTTTTTGAGCCTGTAGACAAGAGAATGCGACAAGCTAGTCAGCCCAAACGTCTGGGTTGAGCTTGGCTTTGGTCACAGGTAGAGAAAAGATCAATCCCCTATGCAATTGCTTGCTGGCTCCATCTGCCATTGGGATTTGCTGACTCTGGGTCCGAAGTCGAGTGAGTGCATTGCATAGATAGGAGCAGTTCTAGTGGTAAAAGTTTCTAGAAATGAGATGCTAAAAAAAACCTCTCGTTATCCTGAACTGCGCTCATGACGAGAATGTACAGACCAAGATCATCTAAATGTGTTAACTCACTGCAAAGGGTTACTTGTTCAGTTGCACTTATTAGCCTCTGTGTAAATATCAGAGGCTGATGAAGCTTTTGGCACCAGCAGTGACTGACTTCTTGATGCCTTATCTCCCTACTAACTAAATTATCCACTGAGCTGGCTGTTTGATATGTGGACACAAATCATGACGGCTCTGAAACATAACTTTTTTCTTTTCTCTCTCTCTCTCTCTGTCTCTGTCTCCAGATTTCTGAGTCCCCTGAACATGCTTATTGGTGGTACTGTGGTGGTGCTGGTGTTCATGGGGTTTGTGTGGGTATCGCACAACAAGGATATACTCCGCAGGCTGAAGAAGCAGTACCCAACCACTTTTGTAGTGGTCATTATGCTGTCTAGCTACTTCTTGATTTCCTACCTGGGAGATGTCATGGTGTTCATGTTTGGGATCACACTTCCTCTGCTCTGTAAGTATTTCTCGCTTCTGTGGGGGCCTGCGCAGTAGGAGACTTGAGCTGTCCCAAATAAGTCTGCAGAGTCTAAGTTGGCTCTTGGCTTTACTATCTCATTAGCTAAAATATCCCAAAACAAAACTTGGGGGAGGGGAGGGCAAGGCACAAGACAGCACAAACTGTCTTTAATGTTATTACTATTTCAGAGCTACTTAAAGAATATGAAACAGGTACTCACAGTTATTTAAGCAGCCATTTAGACTTCATCTTCTTCAAATGATATCATGGCTTAAGGTGAATTTGTCTTAAGGTGGATGCTGTAAGAATCATGCATTCATTGGGCATTAACAATTAATAAGTGTGTTTCTGTTATCCAGTGATGTTTGTCCATGCTTCTCTGAGGCTCCGGAACATAAAGAACAAACTGGAGAACAAAATGGAAGGAATAGGTTTGAAGAAGACCCCTATGGGCATCATACTGGATGCTCTAGAGCAGCAGGAAGAGAGTATCAACAAACTGGCTGACTACATATCTAAAGTGAAGGAGTAAACAACTGTAACATGGCATTTTTACCTGATGCAGGAGTGTAGTTGCAATTTCCTATTGTTCAAGCTTGCTTTCAGTTTGTGTACAAAGCAAGAAATGCACATGTGGCACAGATTAATACTTGCAGGATACAGGTATTCAGGGCTCCTCTAAAAATATAAGGAGAGTAACTTTTCTATTGTATAGCAAAATGTTCTGGTGTTTACACAAATACATACTAACTTAAACCTATTTGCTTGTCTCTCCTTGCTGGGGGAGGAGGGGGCAAGAGATGGAAACCCTCTGGAATGCAGTCTTTCCAAGTGTCTTTGTAGCAGATTTGTCTGTTCATAAGAGTAACACTTTCATCTCAGCGCTCCATGATGGCCATTCAGCCAGTTTATTGCACTGTGCAGCACCTTTAAGCTGGCAGACTTCAAGGGGAGCTGGAACGTATCAAAAGTAGGCATCTCTTGCATCCCTAAAACCCCTAATTAAAGTGGTCTGTAGTGAGATCATGTTGTTAGCTCAAGTGGCAAACGGTGAAACTGCAACTCTTTTCTTGTAACGAGTATGGGTTCTTGTTCTTACCTCGCATTCCTCCTTTAGCAGTCTGAAACAGTCTAAATAGATTTAAGCAATGGTACCACGCATCTGTCGGTTCCAGTAAAATGCACCTTTTTCTCTGAAATCTTGATTCTATTGAGATATATAGAAACAGCTCTTCATAGGAGAGCCAGAACTTCCTCACGTAACACCTAAACGACAGCTAAACACAGGAAGAAAGAATGTTTGCAGATAACCTAGACTAGCTAGGATTCTACCCTATTGATGTTTTTAAACACTGCTTCTTTAGGACTTACCTTGTTCTGCTTTAGTCTTATAAGGCTGTTCTGTAGATGAAGGTGTATGTGTGTGGTGACTTTGTGTGTGGGTCTCTTTTTCTTATTAGTTAGAATGCAACGATACAAGTTTAAAAAATGCATCTCACCAACTCTGTTCTTCTGGCACTCTTCAAAGGAATAAACTGGATTTCAGGTTTACAAGTAAAAGCAATAAATGTGAAGATACAATTTTTGAAAACCCATTCCAAATTCATTAAGATAGCTGCCTGCAACAACTCTTGAAATTGGGGTGTGTGTGGGGGGGACTCTTTTTTCCCTACCCCCTTTTTTTAAATACATATTTTAACTGCCAGCTTTGATGGAATTCTGTCTTGATAATAGGTACCAAAAATAAGGGGGGAAAATTTCCAGCTGACACTCCATTTCAAATATTCTTGCCTTTCTCCTTTCTAAAAAAGGAATAGTTTCATCAACAGTAAAGCAAATATCCTTACATTTGAAGCTTTTATGTAACTTGCCCATGCTGTTTTTCATAGTGGAGTATGTAGAAATCTGAAAATGTCATTCCATTTAAGTGTTATAAAGTGAACAGTATTTATTGAAAATGTCTGTATATTCCAGCTCAAGGTTCAATGGCCTATTCCTCACTTGTAGCGCATGGTCTTTGTTTTATGAAACCTGTTACCGCACTTAAAGAAGGTAGTAGCCTATGACTCCATCATACTGTTGAATTTTAAACCGCACAGTTATGAAGAAAAATAAACTCTAATGGTGATTACTGAGTGCATTTATTTCAGGTTGTAAAAAGAGACCATACACTGAAGCTTGCGTGTTCAGTTCCCGCTGTTGGTAGAAGTGCCTATTGTGTTAGATGTATAGTCATCCTATAGATACTTTTGCTTGTAGTGACATCCTGGTTTCGAGTGCTCCATGTCTGGAATAATTTCAGTGAAGTATGAGAGGCCTCTGAGCTGCAGGAACATTGCTGCATAACTTCTGCACCCATACAATGGCTTCTCCCCAGAAGTGGAGTATTTGAGCACTGGTTCATGCTGTTTCAGTCTTATATAATTCTACCTTCATTAAAATAAAATCCCCATTAAGTATCTAAGAGGTAGTTCTCTGCGCTTTTAGGATGACTGGGAGTTGTGCCTTGAATGCAGCTAGGAAGTAAACGTTGCAGTCAAGCTACTGGTGTGGACTCTATATCAGGCTCTCTTCCTCCTTCTATAATTGTTAAGAGCCTGCTCAATACAAGAATATGTATTGAACTGGGGCTTGACATGTCCTGCTCTAAATACCCTTGCAGTGCTTGCCACTGCTGAAGGCACTGCATAGGCACTGCTCCTTGACTCCTTCTGGGTGGAGCACTGATTTGCACTTGGCTGCTTCATTTGGCAATCCTAAAACATTATTTTATTTTCCTCTCTACTGCCTTGTCCCTGCTACTTCTTTGCTACTTCTTAGCTATGCAAGCCTAACACGGAAGCCAGTATGGAGAGAGTGTGCTCTAACAGTGCCCTGGGCTAGCTGCTTTTTTGCACCCCCTTCACTTGTTGCAAGGCTCCACAGGAGAAGCTGTTTAAAAGCACCAGGTCACTTCCCCTTCTTAACGGGACCAGTCTGTCCTGTTTTCCACTTCCTATCCTTTACAAAAGACAGGTCTGTAAGAAGCAGAGGTGCAGGGAAAGTGGTATTTTCTTTTCATGTCTCTGCTATCCTGAAGCAGCTTTCCCCTCCCCCTTACGTGGTGCTGTCATGGCTTAAAAACTGCTTGCTCAGTCTTAGGCAATCCCTCAGCCAGGTTTCCCACGCCTGCAGCATTAAAGTTGCAGACAGACATACAGCAGAGAGAGAACTTTAAAAGTTTGGAGGAAGATGCTATAGTGAGGGATTTGAAAGAGACCAAGTAACAGACACAAAAAGGACAAGCTTGAGCTAAAGATAGCAGAGAGTCGCGGATTCGAAGAAGTCCTGAACGTTACTGATAGAACAGGAATGAAGGCAACATACTGAAACCAAAAATACTGGGGCAGGGAGAGGAGCGTGCAATACACATTAGACCTAAACAAGACAGAGATTTAGCTCCTCGAGGAAGGTGGCTAAGAGGGGTAGGAAGGAGCAACAAGGAGACACGCATCTGAAGGCAATCCTGCAGTGAGCTGCAGAGCTGAGCACGTTAAGAGCACGTATCAGCGACATGAAGGCAGGAGAGATGCACACTAGTTAAGGGAAAGGTTTTGCTGGGAGGCAAAGCAACACAGAACATGAGACTATGCCATACAGCTTTAAATTACTAAAAAAAAAAAAAAATTATGATCCCTTTAGATGTATTCCACAGGAGTGTGGCATTTCTATAATTACTTTAGAACGGAGTCTTGCAGCAAAAATTTTTAATGCAATTAAAAGAGAGCCAAAAATAATTCACAATACTAAGCAAAAAGAAAATGTGATGGAAGACAGTTAGCTGTAGTAAAATGGTTAACGCCGTCATCTCCTGCCTGTCTCTCACCATTGCTAGGGGCAAGACATGCTATTCGCACCCCCCGCTGGAAGGCATAATTAGCTTATGAAACTCGTGACAAAAAAGGGGGATAAGGCTCATCCTCCAGCCGGTTAAGGAGTAATGTAGAGCGTGCTCTGAGCTGGCATTTAGATTCATTCTGAGGTGGTTGTAACATGGAGCTGGAGAAAGGATTAAGAGTTATATCAAAGACAGATGCATCATGGGGAATGAAGATTACAGCTCTCAAAACAGATCATGGCGTCATCCTTTATATACTGACCAAGTACAATACCAGCTAGACTACGTTCTGTAATACATGTAGCTTGAAACCATCAAGCCTTTATGTTCAATGTCCCATGCCTTGAATTTTTCTTCTTGGCTCTAGAGACAGTAGTCATTCTGTTCTGTAAACCTGTTAGCCATGGAAGTGCTGCACCCACCTTACGGAGAGAGCTTTTATTGCATTTCTGTTTCCTCAGCCTAAAAAAAATAAAGCTGTTTACACGGAAACCAAATGCATTTCTCATGGACAGGAGAATAAAGCAAGGAGCATGTTGTGGAAAGAAAGATAAGATAAAGCACAACATGTTCCTGGAGAATGTGACAGCAGAAGGACAACATGGAAGCAGAGTTGTTTACTGACAAACCGTACAGACTTAAGGTTATTGATGCCTCTGAGAAAATAACTCCCGTAGCAAACTGGAGCCTCAGATCCGTTTGGCAGACAGATGGCACCGTGATTGTTTGCTAGCTGGTGGAAACCCTTAACATTGACTTCTCCCAGGCCAGCCTTTTTCATCACACTTCAGAAAGTGCACATCGCAAGCTTTGTTCCCAAAGAGACATATATACCACCTGGCTTCTGAAGAAGACATCTGGTGAAACAATTGTAAGCAAAACTTGCACAGTCCTTATTCCAAGTTGTTTTCTTCAGGTCCGTCTGGTCTCTTACTCTAACTGCTTCGGCAATGGCACCTGGACAAGGAAAATAAAGAAATATTACGAGGAGGAAATCTGCCAGTCTTACTTCCAAAGCCAGCTTAGGTTAATATAAACCTTCAGAAACTGTAAAAGGATCACAAATATAATAGCTAAGACCCTGAAGGACTCCTGGTCAGGAATTTATTTTTGTTTGTAGTTCCTCACTTCATGTTTGCAGGTTAAAGCCCAGTAATTCTTTCTGCAAGCACTGAGCCTCACCACAGAGAGCGCATGGACACCCAGGCTGGCTCAAGCAGTAAAACCCCATTTTAGAGACGAAGCCGAGGGTAGCACAGCGATTACACAACTATAAGCTCATGCAGGCAGACGAGAATAAAATACTAATGCCCCGAAACCAAGCTTCAAGTTATTTGGCCAGATGAAAAAGAAAAATCAATATGTGCCTGGCATTTCTTCCTCTTTCCACAAGCTGTAATAACAACTGTTATGAACTGGCCCATTTAAGACAGATCATGAAGTCACCTTCATATCCCATAGTCTGATCACTAGATGGCGTTCGCTAACCACAGGGGGGACCCGGGATGCCTGGGTTTGCAGGATCTGCCATCAGCTGCAGAAGGCTGCTGGGAAGCCCTTTATGAAGCGCTGTCTTTTCTTTTTGTGCATCACAGAAAAGAAGTGAGACCAGTTGCTTGTGTTCGTACAGGGGAACAGCTGTGAGCAATACACAAGGATGCAAAATTTAAACTTACTCTGCTTTCTACACGCACTCTCTCCCATTGTTTTTCTTCTTCTCCAAGCGTCCATGAGCCTCAACAAGCACATGTACAATATACTGACTGTTTTTTCTCTTATGAAAAAGTAGTAAAATCCAAGCACCATTGGTTGACCTTACTGATTAACGGAGGCCAACTGCAAGCTGGCTGAGCCCTGCAGGCCACGTATGGATGTGGCTCCCTGCAAACCCTCATCCTGGATCGGCCGCACTATGGAGACCTGGGATCTGCCTGGAAGCGCCTTCTGCCATTTGCCTCTCCTGGCCAGAAGCCGCCAGAAAAGAGAAACGTTCCCATTTGAACCGAGTGAGAAGAAAATGGTATGGAAAAGGAGCTGGGTCAGCTTTCGAGATGGGTTTGGCTGGGTGAGAGCCGTCACCTCCCGCTCTCCCCAGCACAGTTGCAGAAGCAAGTTCTGAAATATCAGACGTCTGCAACAACCCCCTCTGCTCCAAAGCCTGTAACTGCTATTTATAAAATCCTACTAGGACTTTGAGGGGGAGCTAACAAACAGGGAATGGCTGGGGTTAACTCTTCTGCTCCCTGGCACCTGCTAACACACAGCTTTCCTAATCCTTGCCGTGCAAAGGGCTGTGCCCTGCCTGAAAGCAAGACCACTATCATCCTTCCCTTTTTCTGGAAGGAAGGAAGGGAGAGAAAAAGAAATAATGCAGTGGCAATGAGAGAGTTTTTCACAGGTGAGAAAATCCCCTACCCCAACATGCAAATACAAGGACCTTTTGGGGTGACCTGCACAGCGTGCGACCTGTACCAAGGCAGCTCTTTTCTTTCTAGACAAGGCAAGCAAAATGCAAAACGATCTGAGATCTAGAAGGGCAAGAAATTGCTCTGAGGCTAAGCCCTGGCTGCAGCCAAATCATTCTTGCCAGACAGAAAAAACCCAGACAGAAAAACATGATTTGGGGGCAGATGATAGTGTCAAACCGTGATCAGGAGGCAGCGGTCCCTGCAGGACCTGGCCCTTCAAAAATTTCAGGATAAACTGCTCTCTTTAAAATTACGGGGGGAATAATTACTTGCGTGTAGATATAAATGAAAGCAAAATGTGACTCATGATACAAAAAAGTCAAGATATGAACTATGAAACATTACTTGACCAGTTCTATTTACAAAGGAGTTCCTGCCCTCTTTTCTCTAGCGTTAGCAACACAAACAGCTGTACTGACATCACCAGCTTCAAACAGATCAGTCGGCTTTTTATATTTCTTGGAGAACGGTATAATGCAAGGAAATAGAACATTTTGGGGAAGCACAAGGTTAAATACAATGGCCAACATTTGGAAAAGTGGCTCATGAATTTGGTATCCAGGTAAGAGCATTACCAAGAGGCTTATCACAGTTTGGGGCTTAGATTCTCAAAAACTTTAAGATACCTAACTCAGAATTGCATTTGAATTGTTGTGAGCACTTAGCACTTTCACCGAAACTTTTACTTACAAGTGAATATAAACACATCATTTGGTATTTTTACTTCCTTGCTATAATTTTGCTCCATCTTTGCTGCTAATGGATCTTTTTTTTTTTTTTTTTTTGTTAGTAAGCGAGCCAGTAAGAGAACTGACTCCAAAAATCTAGTAGCAGAGGATCCCTAAAATAATGCACTCATTGTCATGGGGTTATGCAGCAAGAAGCAAATTTGCAGAGCGTGTATCTAGGCTAGACTTGAGTGTAGCTATATCTGCTTGTGCCTCAAGTAAGTTTGGCCCCGATCCTCCTTGCTTATTTTTATCTCTGTGACAACAACTTTTTAAACCTGATAATGAAAAATAAGAACACCATTTGTGCCTTTTGCTGCAAATCAGTATGTTAGAGGGCCAGCTATTTTAGCTGAAATGTTTTAGGCAACTGTAAAACTGTTACATGTTCAGGCAGCCAAGAAAATGCATCTTTTACCCATGCCGTAGTTACAAGTCGAAAGGTAAGGCATAGGCTCAGACACATGGAAAAACGCTGCAGCAAGGGTCTTTGCAGCATCGCTGTTACAGCCCCACATAAAGAAAATGACTCTTAAAAAAAGAAAAAAAAGTAAATCTCCCCCCACATAAAGCTTAATTTCATGCCAAACATCCTTCTTACGTCCCTAAAGCCTTTCCCCAGGTTTGCCACAGCATTTTGTAGGGTGCCGAAGCTGCGCGGCTCTGGCCCAGGGTCCCTCCCACCCGCCGTCCCCGGGAGCCCCAGCAGCGGGTGCCTGGCACAGCTATCAAATGGGCCAAGAGACTGCGCTTTCTTAGGCAAAGTGAAGCGAAATAAGAAAAAGGCTACCAAAAAAAAAAGAGAAACGTTTGGACAGTCTAGTAGCTATATATTAAGGTCTGTATCGTGATAAAAGTAGTAGTAAAACAACAATTCCTGCTGCCTTCCTGAAACAGGAATTATAATAATATTTTCGTATCATAATAACGAATGTATTACTACTCATATGTTAATACTGGCTTTCTGTTTACCCCTTGAGTGAATTTCCTTTCTTTCACCTTTATGATTGTGGCGTATAAGAGGTTGAAATCTCCCTCTAGCTTCCCACATCCGTCATTGCTATTTCCCTAATTCCTTTAAGCAGAGCTTATAATTTGTCTGAGGGTGGGTGGGCTGTACAAAATGTCACAGTGCTGGGACAGGGGTCGCCTCCCGCAGTCATTAGCGGGCATCGAGTTCCCGTGTTTCAGAGGCGGCGACGTGCTGGTGTGGAGTCGGGGGCTTAAATACCGTGAAAAATCCCCCAAAGCGGAACCCTTGCTCTATACACCTACCGGTTTAAGATAAGCAACGTTACTCTGACGAATGTCGTTTAGTAGCTGATCTCTCGGGGTTATTTCGACGAGGGGAGGTGGCCTTCTCCTGGGGATCGGTTTAAGGGTTTTGATGACGTCCTTGAGGTTGGTTTTCTCCGCAGGCTCCACGTACTTGGGCACGGTGGGTTTGCGCTGAATCTTCTTGAGCTTGACCACCTGGAAGCTGACGGGCTGCTGTCGGGGCGGCTGCTCGGGGGCCGGCTGCCTCGCGCTCTCCTTTCTCTTGCTCAGAGACGCAGAGGTGGGGACGGGCGGCTTCGGCGCTGGCGGTGGTTCGTGCGCCCCCGGCCGAGGGATTGGTCCCCCCAGCCTTTCCCACATCCCAGGAGGCAGCCCAAGTCCGTTTTCCAGCATCGCTATTAGCTCTCTCTGCTCTTTCATCTGCTGCTGCTGTTGCTCCTGGTGTCTCTTCTGTCGCTGTTTGTCCAGGTTCCTGACCACCATGCGGGGCCCCGGCAGCTCGAAGTGGTAGCCCATCTTCAGCAGGGTGGGGTTGGCCTTCAGCAGCCGGGCGATCTCCATCTCGGCCTGGTGGCCCAGCATGCTGCGCTGGTTGTGGAAGCGCAGCTCCGTCAGGGTCTCGTTGTACTGCAGGCACCTCATGATGGCAACGATGCCTTTGCCCGAGATGAAATTGGAGTCAATGTTTAAAGTCGTGATGCTCCTGTTTTCACGTAACATGTTGGCCAGCGCAAAGGCAACGTTGTCGTCGGCTCCCACGTTGGCTAGGCTGAACGTTTTTATGTTCTTGTTCTTTCTCATCGCGTTTACAAAGTCTATCAGCATTTCTTTGGGGATGTTTTCTATGTTGTTCAGGTTGAGCTCTTTCACGTCCGGATTGTTTTTTCGGACTTTCTCCAAACTCTCTTCTAAATTGGTTTGATTTCCTGAGGGTCTGGCACTTAGCTTTATGAAGCTAGTATCTAGTGCTAACTTTTTGGGGATATTTAATTTTGATATTTTCTTTTCATTTTCATCTTGCTTTTCTGTGATTTCCCCTGATTCTGTACCTAGTTTCTTACTTATCTGATCTCTGTGACTGTTCTCATTGGCATAAGTCTCTGTTGTTTCCAATTCATTCTCATCGCACTCTTCCTCCTCCTCCTCCTCATCTTCCTCTTCCTCCTCCTCCTCCTCATCTTCCTCTTCCTCTGTCTCCTTATCACTCCCATCTTTGCTTGGCTCTCCAGATTGTGCTGGTGAATGTGACAAGTGCTCATTTTGGTAATGCCTGTCTTTTCCCTCCGCTTCTGGCCCGCTCCTGCCAGCAGCGCTGCCGGCGTCACCAGCGTTTTCTCCAGCCTCCTCTGCAGTGTTTCTCTGAGGAAGACAAAAACCCAGAGCTGAAACAACTGCACGTGGCTTTGTCATGTTTTTACTTTAGCACAAAATTAACCTAACAGATGGATTTAGATACCTGTGTGTCCCTACGTTACAGAACGATACTGAGCTGAAGGCACCATGGCCTGCAAGCCGTGGCTGCGCGGGCTGGTGAGAAAAAAAGGCCGCCCGCTTCTCGCGTTCGCCCATCAAGAGCGCTGACGCTTGCGCCCTGGGCACACCTCACACTGCCCCCTGAGCCCCTCTCGGGCCTCTGGGCCAAAGCTGCTTTTTGCATTTCGTGTAATTGTTGTCGTTTCCTTGACGAGAGAGAAAGTTTGCTTTGCATGCCACAAAACACCAGGAATAAACGCTGACTGTTTGCACGGCCTCAGAAAGCCCGAAGAGGGCACGTTGTACTAACAGGGCGCAGGACAACTGGCCCAGTGGTCTAAGTGCCTCTCCAGAGCATCATAACTAAGGAGGAGACTCGCTGAAGATGAAGCAAAATATGAGCTGAGGTTGCGTGTGCGCGTCTGGAGATAGGAAGCTGGACCCAGCACGAGCTGTTGCAAGACAGCGACGCTTCAGCATCAACATTAGCTTCATTTCCAGGTCCCACCACCTCCAGAGACCCTCCTAAGTGAGGTTTTTTTTTTTTAGCATCCTTCTTTTTTAGCTTCTGAGATACGTTCAAGCATCTGTGCACTTCCCCGTGGCGGCAGGAGAGGGGGCACCTCGTCCAGGCCACAAACGCCAATAACAGCCACAGAACGGCAAGAAACACCTAATTTTTTTAGAGATGTCCACCTGGGGAAGGTGGACAACAGGATGATTACCCGCTTTTCTGCGGGGAATCCTCCCTCACTGAGAAACGCTCTGCTAATACAGATCAAAACATTTCCCTAAAAGATTTGCACCAGTTGCATCAGGCATTATTACCTCCAGGGCGGTTTCATGGCCTGCGTTTCACGGACAGTCAGATAAAACGGTCACAGCATCACTTCTGCCCTTAGGGCAGATCAGTTTATTGTAAAACATGGCCCTAATTCCCCAAAATATCTAAGCATGACCTTAACCTTTTTTGGAAGCCATAGGGATACTAGCATAAATTTAAGTACTGCACTGAAAAAGGCTGGGCTAGTCCCTGCAGTTTGCACGCTTGGTCAGCAGTGAATGTTTCACACACTCAAAATATAGGCTTTTTTTTTTCTTCCCCAGTGCGACGTTAAGTTCCGTCGATTATTACGCTAATCTTTTACTTATTAAAATAAGTTTTCTATGGAAAAAGCAGAATGGCACCACTAAACATTGCAACGTCCAACAAATTTGATTTTGTGACAATTTCTCAGTCATTTGCTCTAGTGAAACAAAATTAGGATTGACTTGTATGAGAAAAACACAAGTAAAGATTTAGAAAAAAATAAAAACCATAAAAAAAGAACCCTTTCAAGAGTCCGAGCTAGATCCTGTCATTACTGAGGCTTTTAGGGACAATTTAAATTCAGAGTTTGTTACTGTACTGTACATAAGGAACTGAAAATATGCTGTTAAAGCTATTTAACAGAAGCAAAAACCCACTTGCGCTACACTCTTAAAATACATCCTACAGCAGACACCTAATAAATATTTCTGGTTTTCGGTCGTTACCTCAGAGGGCAGGAGGGTGACGGGAACTCTCTCGTCCTCGAGCATGCGCCGGGACGCCTTCTGCCAGTACAGGTAGTCGACGAGCGACCGGTGGTCGAAGCTCCCCGTCGGCGGTTTCTCAGTCTGGTCTTTCTGTATCATCCCAACGGGGACCTTCGGGTCCGGAGCCATCACCTCCATTTCGCACTGTAGCTCCCTGAGCTCTTCGGGCGACAGATTCGCGAGGATTTCATCTTCGTCGATGTCCTCGGGACATACCTCCTCGTCAGAGTTCTGGCTGACTTCAGACATGCTCCTTCTTCTCTCCTTCCTGTGTTACTGATTTAAACCTGGAGAAAAAGATCAATTTAAAAGAGGATTTCCCCACTAGCAGCAGTTCGCAAAGGTTAAATTGACAACTCCATGTTTTGGTCGTGAGCTGCGGCTGCTCCCGATCTTAGTGTGGGAGACAGGCAGGGAGACTAAGTCTATATTAAGCTGCACTTGGCTGGATAAACAGAATTTATGGAGATGCTGCCATGCTCCATTTTCAGCAACTTGTCAGCTGTGCAAACCCCTCTGACATTTCAGTGCAGCTGGTGCGTCCCCATTGAGCAAGGCAGAAGATGGCCATTTTCTAGAGGATTCCCGTGGCACCGTGCCTCTAATGTTTCGCCGTGTGCATGAATCACTACAGGCCCTTGGAGTGAAATACTACTTTGCAAGAAGAATCGGCCCAAGGTCTCTGTATTGATAAAATCTCAAGATGGCTTTCACGGGGGTTTCGGGCAGCTCTTCAGACAGTGGGGGATTTTCCCCTGGTTTTATGGCCTTCGGTGAGTCTTAAAACCTGTCTGAATACTGAAGGTGATTTTGATTTGAGTTTGTCTGTCCCACGGCTGTCTGAGCTCCCCAAATGCCAGCTCTTGCTTAAGAAAAAACATCCAAGACTTGAAAAGGCGGGTGAAAAATCGGTGCAAAGCGTGCCCTGTGCTCGGAGGGAGGGGTCCCTGAAGCATGGTGGGGCCCGGTGGGTGGCAGGGGCTCTGGGACGTGCTAATCAGAGTGAGGCAGGGGCTAATTGCAAGTTCACGGGCCTCAGCTTGCTCCACGAAGCTGGGGCAGATGCCTCCTGGGTGCCACAACCCCTCTGCCGGGGTGCCACTCACTGACAGCTCGGTGGGCCCTGCCAGCCAGGGACCTCAATCACAGCAAACTTATCTTCTTGATCTTTTTTTCCAAGTGCATGTTGTCCCTGCTTCTTAACTACAAGGGAGTACTTTGATTATGTTTTTTCTCCTCTTTTACAGCACACTGAAGGGTACAGGTCTAAAGATGTCTCTGTTATCTCACTCTACATGCCCGTGAGAAGGCAGCTGATCTGAAGTAACCTGGAGCCCTGATTAACCCCCTGTCCTTCACAGCTCAGGAGCAATGTAGACACCCTCTTTTCCATCTTGGTGGTGGCACACAGAAGAGAAACCAGCCCAAGTCCTGTGGGGTGGCTGGGATCCTTAGAGAAGGGGTAATGCTGTTATTAGTGGCAATCCCTGTTGGGCTCGGTCGGTCATACAACACACCGCGATCAGCACAGCCGAACTCTACCCCCGGGGAGATAACACCAGGACAGAGACAAGGATTTGGGGGTGTGTTGCTCCAAGGCTATTTTGAGTTAGCTCAGTGGGCTGGGGTCTTTAGGCTCCTCATCCTAGCCAGGGTCTTCAGGCATTCCAAATAAATGAATAGTTTCCCTCTGAACGAATATCTGAGAGGTATATCCTTCCAAACCCAAGGCTCTGACGGCCTTTCAGTTCTGTTTATTTGCTGATCCCATTTAGCTCATTGCAGAAGTAGCTACGCAGTTATTTATGGAAGAGATGCTGGCTATACGGTGCACCACACTCCCAGGCACTAATGTGCGACTTAGTAGATGCAGACATTCATAAATACATCTGGCCAGACTCTACCACGGACATTATCTGTACTGTCAACGGATAGTGGCTGGTAGTTCATCTAAGGTTCATCTTCTCCCTACTTGTTACTATTTTTTAAAAGAATTAGTAAGTGACGACAAATATATACTTTGCTAGTATTTGTAGAACTGATATAAAAGATTATTTGAAATTGTTTCTTTCTTTAAGTCTCTGTTCTAGCTGAAAATAACTTCTTTGTTTAGAATATTTTGTACGCTGCTAAATTTGCATGGCCAACCAGCAAGCTGTATCACTGGTATTTCTGTGTTCATGGTTGTTTCGTAAAAGCTAAGTAGCGTGGGCTGGCAATTTCTCTGCTACAGCACAGTTTCAGTATGACGCAGATTGGACTGTTCATTTCATTAGAAGATTTCCTTTCATCATTTCAGAAATCCTTTATGGGGCTATCAAATCAAATCCTCCCCTTCTGGCTGTGAATGCATCTTTCACAGGAAAAAAAAAAATGCACCCGATAGGATGTGAAAGCAAGTCCCACCAAAATTTAAGCCATATTTCTCATGGCAGTCTGAACCATGCTCTGCTGGAGTCTGCCAGCAGCAAAATAGTCTCTGCATGATGGTTGTCCTCTCTTTGCTGAGTTTAATAACAACAAGAAACATGGTGTTCAAAGCCCTGTTAGCCTCTATTAAAACGCTGTAAACCAAAGGTCTTCATTTAACTAAAGCGGCTACATGGAAGTTAAAAGGGCAAACATTTAAGAACAAAATAAATGGTAAAGGAAAAATTAACGAAAAAGCAAGCCAAGAACGTAATGGCTCTCTTTGCCCCTTCAGCATTTCAAGGGACATCCTTATTTTACATTATGCAGTAGCAAGCACAACAGCAGACCCACACATCAATCTGCCTGGTCTATCACTTTTAACCCCAGCAATTGCTGTCCATAATAGAGTCCATAAATGGTTTCCTGATGTTATCAAATAAATCAATGCTCTTGGGTGGCTGGTATGTTATTCTCCCAGACAAATCGCTTGCTGATTTCTTGATGGTAAATAAAGTCCCTGGCCACCTTCTTATATTTCCATGATCTTCCCCCAGGCCATCTTGGGCTGCGATCTTGTTAGATATCCTAAGTTAAGTAGGGTCAAACCTGCAAAGTCCTCTAGAGAGGGAAAACAGGGATACTGAGAACACTATCAGGGATTAAAAAGGCAGATTTTCTTCTAAGTAGAAATATATCTCTTGTTCCATATTGCGATTAGGAAATACTATACTTTTGGGAGTGATATCTTTTATGTCAGACACAAAATGAAAGCTGACCTGTGACACCTCTCCTAATTACATAGGCGCTAATCCTAGAGAATCCCAAGGTGGGTATCACGTTTTGCCTACTTTAGGTCTCCTCCATAAATTACATCGAGTACAGGATTCACTTCCTTTTCTAACGCATCGCTTAGCGTTTTCGTACACTGGAAACAAGCACGTTAAGGGGACAAATGACACCCTTCATGCTGAAGGTACACGCATGGCCAAATCTAGAGGTCCTCTCCAAGGTAAAACTCCCATCTTCTTCCCAGTAACCTTTGCAAGTATTTGTCTCAGAGTTCTCCAAAATTATCACTAATTCTACCATCTTTCTTAAGACCAAATGTTTTGCATAGCAAAGTGACTTCCATTGCTATCACCTGTTACTTCCATGCCAATTTGCTACTGGCTGAAGAATCCCAGGACTAGTGAGCTCCTGTACAAGATGCTCCGTTACCAAATGGCACAAAGTTGTTCCAGCAGCAATTTGCAAAATATTACTGAAAAACAAGTAGCAGGTAAATTAGTAGGTAAGGGGAAAGGAGGCTGGAAAGACAAAGTAACTGTACAGATGTCCTTCATCAGTCATAAATCAAGGTGTCCTCAGGAGCTGGCTAATATCGTTATTCCTTTCCAATACAGGAACACACTCTAGCACCAAATAAAACCAAATTAAACATCAGCTTAAGATACATTACTGAATTCTGAGTTTGGAAGGAGCAGAAGGGGAAATAGCATTTCTACGCCATTGCTGATGCCAGAGAGAGAGCTGGCAAAGGCAGAGCTGACCTTTGCTGGAGCGATGCCACCTCAGTGTCTTGAAAAGGGATTCATTGTCAGGGACCCAGCAAACCACTCCCAGCTCCAGGTTTGGGGAATCCCATGTGATTCCTGGCAGCAACAACAATATATATCTCCCTTCTTTCTTTCTCCCTAAAGAGCCCAAATCATTGCCCACAACCTACAGCAACCACCAGCGTATCATCGTGCACTGAAACGGAGGTAACACAGCCCAGCTCACGCGATCCCGTCGCTCACCCAGCCGGCAGCCTGGCCTGCGGACACAAAGCTGATCTCTAGTAAAGCACAAAAGCTCTCTGTCCACGTCAGAGAGCTCCCTAGGTTATTGGTGTGAAGGAAGACGGACTTGCTCGAGTGGAGGTTTAGGCCTGGATGGGATGTGGAAGAGCAGGGCAGTTTAAAACAGTCCTCGTGAAACACAGTCCGTGCAAAAGCAAAGATCTCTGCGCTTTGATAGATAACATGCCAGGGACTATGCAGGTCTTCAGCCTGCCCTGAGAAGCCAGCACCAGCCAAGCGCTGCAGAGACAAAGCATATTTCATCCCCAAACTGCTTCTTCTCTACCCATAATCTCAGGCTCAGAGTAGGTTAGCGTTCACGTCTCACAGGTGACACGGCTGGGACCTAAAACCTAAACCTAAGGGTTTTCTTCCCCTAAAATGGCCATGCTGCTCTGATTTTGCTGTCCTGCTCTCACCAAGCATCTGGTGATCTGGAGGTATCCATCAGATCGGGTCAACAAGCTGCATAAAGGGAAAGATCAGGGTAATGCCAAATTGTACTCAGCAAAGCCAATGATTATAATGTCTCCTGCCACCTGAGCCCAACCTTCTCCAGCTGATGCTATGATAACTTGCTCAGAGACCCGGAGACCTCACATGCTTCCCCTGCAGGAGGCCCTCTTGAAACTGGTCTATAGACATGGGTCATAAATAGCTGTCAAAGATGCATGAGAGGGCACGTGCTACGGACCGGGTTAACAATCTCCATTGCCTTTACTGCAGGGCTGGCAAAGACTGTTGAGGGATGGTCACACTACCACTGACAGAACCCTCAAAATTACGTTTCTGGTCCTCTGTCAACTGTGAGGACCTTAGAGAAGCGTTGCATCTCCCAAGCGGCAGGGAGAGATTGCAGGGTCGCTCTGCACGGGTTTGAATCTGCTGCCGCCTCGGCACAGAAATGAGCAAACTGAGATTGCAGGCAGCATCAGAGTCAAACTCAACATTTATTTTAGGTCTCTGTTTTCATTTTGTTTGTTATTCCTTGGTATTCAAGCAGCCTTTCAAACATGGTCTCCAAACAGAAATAAAAACACAGAGATTTTGGCAGCCCAAGTCCAGCTGATATCTGCATAAAGTGACTCTAGTGGGTAGGAGCTCAAAATTCACGCTAAGCAGGTACTTAACAGGTGTTAAATAAAAGCAGTTCGGGAGCAGATCTTATGTATCGGCAGAGAAGGCGGCTTGCGCTTATTCATACAATTCATACTTTTCGCTGTTTCTAAGGCAAGTACTTACGTATGGATGACCTCTTGTATGAAAGCCAACAGAGTCGAGTGCAGGACTGTTTTCTCATCTGTGCATTTTCTTCAAAAATTCCAACCCATCTGTCTTGAAGGCAAAAGGGTTGACAGGTTTTAAAGTCAAATATCAAGGGGGGGAGACTGGTGTCACTTTGACTCTAAGCAGGCCATCAAAACATGCTTCAAGTGCCTAAAATGTGTTCTATTTTTAAGGTAATTGATGGGACGCAGGCTGACGCCAAATACTTTACAGCAATATCTATAGCTTTCATTTTTGCTAATAAAACCCACGCATTTATTTCCCTTTATTACCAATCCATGCCATTTCCAAGTGCCAAGGCATTAACTGGAACGAGTCGGAACATGCGCCAACGTAACATAACCTTGCGCCACTTTTCAGATGCTTGCAAGCCTCATGGCACAGTCTAAAATTGACAAACAGTAGCATGCACCAAGTATGCCCAGCAATCCCGTGTAACGCGATATGGGGATTATAAAGGGTCAGATGATGGGGGTCTTAACAATAACAACACTAAGTAACGATAGCAATCAGAGAGAGACACCGTGCGGGAAAGACATCAGGGAGCTTTTTGGGAAAAAAAAAACAAAGCAAAAAAACCAAACACTTCCAAATTGTTACAGCTATTCACACACACACGCACAGATATCTATCTCACCCTGCCCTGGCAGTCACTAAATCACTGCATGTCACTAAGTCAGAGTCTAGTGTTTTCCTGTTGCTCAAACAGGAGCAAACTGAACTGCACCACTCATTTCCGTGAGACTTGGATGAGCCTAATTTGGCCCAATAGGCTAAAGAGCAGAGCTGTTTTTGGAGGTGGGATTTTTTGTTTTGTCTTTGTTTTTTCAGTTTCCTTTTTCAGAGAAGCGTAAGAATGCGCTAGGGCCGCGAGCAGATAAACTGCCACCCCACTACGCAATAGGAAACCTTTTGTAGCACCATCCAGATTCCTTATCAGGGGGAAAAGGAAAGTTTAAAAAGCATAATAGAGAGAAAGGGGGAATGTGAAAGGGAGGTTGGTCACGTCAGAAATTAAGGAGAGAAAATTTTAGACTGTAGCAGGGTAACGACAGCGCACACTGACAAATAGAAAATAATCCAGCAGGAAAAAGCACAGGGAAGTCAAACGCGTAAGTCTTGCTTCACATTAAGAATAGTTAAATAATTAGCTGCTGGGTTTTCAAACCATTCAAACTGCTTTAAATAACTAAAAAAAACATTCAAAAGCCACGAGCCTTGGGAGCATCATGAACGTTGATGGTGGCTGGGGGGGACCGAGAGCGACAGACGAAGTCCTCGGTGCCCCGGGGTGATCCAGGCCAATCCGTTGGCCTCCTCAGAGCCAAGATCTGCTCCATGTTTTGCCCGAGAGGTCTGGGTTTCTGTGCTGAGCGAGTTTGCCAAGGAGCAGCGCTGTGCCTAGCCTGTGCTCCCCTGGGAGCCCAGGGCTGCTTGATTGCCAGCACAAATACACTTTTTTTTCCCCCCATCGGCTATCCTCCGCAGCAGGCCTGCTTGCTTCCAAAGCGATTTAAGCAGTCGCTCCCCGGGCCGCTAACGGTGAGCAAGACACCTTCCTGCGCGACGCTTACGAAGCAGGTCCGTGGCTGCAGGAGGGAGGTGCTTCTCCCAGACTTGATTTACGGTGTGATCACAGGCAAAATGCCGAAACAGTCGGTGCTGCTCGTGTTCTACTGACTCGATACGTTACCTACCTACCTCCTGTTATTTACTTAACATCTGCAAAGCATTTCAAAAACACCTGAACGTTTTCATCTCTGTACGGCGGTTCATTGCTCCTATTCCAAAAGCACAGAGCTCACAGACATGTGGAAACAAACCTGTGGCGAATGAAAACGGGTCTGCGGGAGACTACAAACAATTCCCTTATTTTACGGGAACAAGCTGAGTCAAGAGATTCAGCAGGGGATACCGAACGCCGAACCACAACGTCACGGACGTTGGTCCTCCCTGGGACTCTTTACTCGCATTAAACGCGCAAGACCAAGAGGGCTGCCCCAGGCGGTCGGGGCTGGGACAGGAATACACACAGTCGCTTTCGAGCACATCAACAGACGTTGAGTTTGAATGAAGACAGGCCAAAACCACGTGTTTCCAGCCCTGAGCTGGAGCTCTCCCAAAACCAGGTTCAAGCGTGCCTCTAGTTTTAATATCACTTTCATCACCAAACAGGCTGTTAACGATTGTAAGCTGTTGGCAACGCGCTTCCGCGCTCTCTGGGTTTGCACGGCAGTCTCAAGCCTGACAAAAGCCTCACGCTAAAATCGGTAACCAGAATTAAAATTTAAACTGTCCTCTTCCTTTGACAGCCAAATTTACTATTTCCCTCCAAATGCTACGTGCCAGTACTATTAAATTAGAAGGGTTATAGCATGAAGCTAAGGACTTTTTGAGGAGTGACAGTCATCATCACAGCCCTTTAAACGAACCGTCTCCTCCACATTAGTATCAAGCGCTCTTAATTCGACACGACAGACAGTGAGAAAAAATCAATGAGCCAATAGATTAGATACACGGAAAACAGGAATCATTCCAGGAAACGACGTCACCCTTAGCATTAAACGTAGGGGAGCCTCTTTCTTTTGTACCGTTCAAACCTACCCACAGTCCCCACACCCACTACCATCCTGCCATCAAAACGCGCCCGCCGGTAATGACGCCGGTAAAGACACATGCGATCGCTTTAGTTCATGTGCACGGGGCACGTCCTTCCTTAACCTTCGCCCGGAGACAGGTGGCGGGGGAAACGTCTAGAGTTACTCCAGCCGAGGCCCTGCTGGCTGCAAACTCTTCTCACTCTATATCTCTTCGATGACACTCTTAACGATTAAATATAAATCGAGACTCATGCTTGTTGCCTGTGAGATGGGCAGGAGATGGCCTGGAGCACATCTCTCTGCAGTCAAGGGCTTCCTGAAGGATTTACAGCGACTCCCTGCCCGAGGGAAAGGCACAGATGATAACGCTGGATGGACGGCAAAGGATCTCTTCTTAGATCTTGTTACTCTTTTCGTGAAGGCCGTGACATCCCTTCATGTGCTCTGTTCTCCTGTGCTGCCAGCACTGGCTACTTTCCCTTCTTCCAAGCAGGAGATGCCACATCAGATTTTACTTGTTGCATTTGGGCTTGGAGTAGTTGTCTTCTATGATCTATTCTTCCTTGGAAGGCGATCCATACAGTCCCAAATCTGAACCTAACAGCTGTAAGGGGGAGAGGGGGAAGGTCCTGTTAAACAAGACAGGTGGCGGTGCAAAAGACGGGTGTTGTCATCCCTACCCACTGGCAGCGTTTGCATCAGAGCAATGCTTGGGAAGGGGGAAAGTTGTCTTTTTTGGAAAGTTCAGGCCTTGTTTTGCCGGGTATTACAGATGCGTTGCTGTCCTTGCACCAGAAATCACCTGGCAGATTAGCGACAGGACAGGGTGGGTGGAGGAGCAGCCAGCACGGTGGGGGAAGAGGGTGGGTGACAACAGCACAACTGTGCAATTGCCTCCTTTTTCTGCCTTCACATCCATGGCATCGCTCCGGAGCTCCCAACGCTGAGGTCAGGCTTGAAGAGAGATGGGAGTTTCCAAAGTCCAGACCACACTTCAGTGAGAGCAAGGACCACTTCTGGAACTATGATTTGCAACAAAACGGAAGGAAGTCGTGCTCAGTCCCATCCACTTCCCCTAGAAACGTGTCTCTTCCTTTGGTTCACTGTCCACATTGGGCTGAAGACCCATTTTTCTCACTAACGTCCACATCAATACAGTTTAACGTTAACTCAATTACATACAATCAAATGCTAATTGATTATAATGAAGGCTGTACTAAATGGAAAACTGTGGGCTGTATCCATATGGGAGCTGCAGGTTCCCTGCCCCTGCTCTCCGCAAATACCATGTTAATTGCTTTGCTTGATTAGAAAGCCCTAATTACTCCTGCCAGGCACGTGGAGAGAGTCAGGGCTGTCAGTGGCAATGGGCTGTTACCTTCTCTGAGAGAAGAACAAGGACAAGAGCAGAGGACATAGAGCAGAGAGACACGATGCATGGGGCAGGGGGATCAAAAAACCACACAGAACTGTTTATGTCTTCACGTGTTCGCAAAATAAAAGAAGAACTTTTCTCCACTATGTTTATCTCAAATTGTCGCAAAAAGCGAAAGTATTTGAATTTGAAAATCCCTATAGGAAGTTTTTGTTGCCAAAAAGATAAAAAAATTCCTTAGGACATGAAGTTTTTCCCCTAGCACAAAATCCCTAGCAAAAAAAAGCTGTGGAAAAAGATAATCTGTCCTTTTAAACTAATAGCTGTTAAATAAAAAATATACAATTAAAACTTTGTTTCTATCTGCTCCACCCTGATGGGCTTCAGAGTTTGTGTCAAGCCCTAGTACAGCTGAAGCCCTCAGCTTCCTACCTTCGAAATGTATTAACTATGATAGAAAAGCACATTAAGGAATAGCGTAGAAAGTGGAAATCCTGCTAGCAGAGGCATTAGCTTCCTCGGAAGGTGCGAGGCAAGCACGGCTCAGAGCAGCTTCTCTCCAGGCCCAGGGAGCCGCTGTGCAAGCAGCCCTCTTGCATTAAACACCAAGCCCAGGAGATGGAGCAAACCCGCAGCCTTTAGCCGCGCAGGAGCTGCTGCGGAGCAGTGCAGCTTCGCTGCGTGCCAAACGTTTTCTCCGCAGGCTGCAACGTCACCTTTTGAAAGCCGGATAAGTCTAGGGTGATAAAACAAAACTCAGCAGAAGCCTGCGAGAGTCATGGCACAGAGTCACGTTGGCCAGCAGACTGCACGTAAACGCGTTCAGGTGAGTCTTAAAGACGTGTGAACTTCCGAGGTCCCTGCAGTGAAACGCATTGAGAAAAACCACGAATTCAGGCAAGTTCTGCTTAACAAAGAACCGATTTTAAGCAACGTACTGGGAACTGGACAAGGTAGGATTCAGCCCCCAAACCCAGCGGCCGCCGCAGGCTCGGCCCAAGGCCGCGGAGCCTCCTGATGGCAGCCGGAGCTCGGAGTGGCGCCGGCTCCCTCTCCCACGTCTCCGCACAGGAGGGGTTTCGGACACGAGCCTCCTGCGGGACCGGGAGCAACTCCCCTTGGGGTTCGTCCCCCTCCATCCTCCGAGAATCACTGTTGGTAACAGCATAAAAAAAGCAAGCAGCAATTAAAAATATCAAACGTTGCTTATCTTAGCACAGTGCCCCAATACCTTTTTGGTGATTCCTGGCAAGGACTATTTTTTCTTCTTCACCCATCGGCGTTTATAAAGCGCGCCGCGATGCTGCGCTTTGCGTGGTTCTGGGCGGGTTTCTATCTGCTCTCCACGCTCTCGTCTCGTCAGCAGTATCTTCTACCTTCTAGAGGAGAGAGAGGCATTCGAGACATTACAAAATAACCCTGTGGGTCTGTGGCCGTTTCACGTTTGTGTCTCGTGTTAGTCGCTTCCTGGCTTTGTTCTGCATCACGTTAAATAAATACTTCTAAATATTTCTTCAGACTGCAAGGGGCTGAAAGGATCTGAGAGGAATACGGGAGCTCGTCAATGGTGTGGGTTAGTCACTAGGTGTCCTCACGATTCCTGATGAAGAAAGGCTGAGGGGAAAAAAGTGTTTTAAATAGCTGAAAACGGAGATGAAGCAGCAATTCAAACAGACCACAGGTACTTTGTATTCCTCCAGCTCTGAACAAGTTTGCTAATAATTGCAGCCACGTCTTTATTACCTTTTCAGCTGCACTGCACAGGCCTGGTCTCCACAGAGAGTCATACGTGTGCAATGAAACATTGCTGCAGAAATGTGCAGCAAAGAAAGAAACTTGAGATCTACAAAAGGCAAACCTAAGCAAAACCTCAGCTCTTTGGTGCCCCAAGGAACTCCGGACCTGAGGTGCTGCAACGAGCCTGCGAGAACACAGCGGGCAGGACAGGAATCACCTTTGCTGAAAACGGGGAGCTATGGGCTAAAATGAGGGGCTGCGCGAGGTGTAGCACCGCCAGGCCCCTTGCTGGCGCTGGGCAGCAGCTCGCACGGGGGATTTGCACCCTTCACCTCTCCTTCCCTGCACCGCGCAAGCAACCGTCCCCATCCCTTGCTCGCTGGGTCCCTCCCATCTCAGTTCTGGTCCTAGAGTTTTTATATCCAATACCCCTAAATACAGCAAGCTGGACTCAACACAAACCTACCTAAAATTCCCGTGCTCTCAGCCTGATCATCCTAAATCATCCTGGTACTATCAGGGCAACTCGGGAGGCCTGGCCAGGCGCCGGTGTCGTGCCAACACAGATGTGTTAGACCGAGCTACATCCTGAGCAATAATGGAAAAGTCAATACAAAATTCAATGGATACAGCATTAAAATAAAGGAATGTAAACAATGCTTCAAGTGCGGACTGGGTCTTGTCACACATCTCATTTCCTTTCTTAAATGAAACTCTTTGAGACTATTGATAAAAGTGACTGTGAACATGTACCAATACCATTATTTCTTTGTAAGACATTGGACTTGGTGTTTGCTTCCTGTTAAAAAACATCAACATTTTATAATAGCAACAAAACATGCGTTTAATGTATGAAGAACTCGCTAACTGACAGCCTCCAAAACTCCTAGGGGAAACGGAAAGCTGTGACCACAGGGGAGCGTTTTCAGCGGGGACTTCTGCAGATCCTTGCTGATATCAGCAGCAATTTCACCAGCAATGCAGACATAAGCGTAAAACGCCATGTTGCTCAAGCCTGTGGATGCCACTACATGTAGGGAAGAAGAAGAGAGGACAGTGATACTGAACGACCTGGACTGCTGGGCAAAGCAGGTGCAAACGGGGTTATACACCTAGAAACCAGGTCGCTCCTTCAGGGTGGGTGTCTCGGGGGGCACGAGCTCGAAAGAGGACCTGGCAGGTCAGGGCAGAGGAGCAACATGACCTCCCCAGCTTCAACAGCGAAGGCTGCAGCCATCCATGAGCAGGAGACATTCCCAGAAATATGAGGCCGCTTCTATCTGTGCAGCCCTGAGACTGCTGTTGTCAACCTCTGTAGCCTCCCAACATCTGCTTTGCAAAACAGAGGTTGAGGAACAGAAGAAGGAAAGATCTGCAAAATGTTTCTGAAAGCTGGAAAACCAGATGCCAGCTCTTTGCTTTACAGAAGAACAGCACGCGCCTGCCCAGGGGAGGGCACCAGGTACGGCCTTCGCTGCCAGGTACGGCCACTGCCTTCTTCACTGATGGCATTGTGGGCTCCAGGGACGACCGCGGGTCCTCCTTTCCTCACGTTCAAGGCCGACGTTGAACTGGGCCCACCGGGCAGCTCCGTCCGGATGCGCTGACGCTGCCGTTGCTGGAAATCCTCTGCATTAAGCCTCCAGAGGACACCACCTCCGGCAGCCCTGCAGAGAGCGAGAAAGTCCGAGAAGCGGGAGCCGCTCTGCCCTTTACCCCTGCGGGGAACAGAAAATCGATACGGGAGATGCAGGTGAGGTTATCAAGGCCGACAGCAGAGATTAGATTACAACAAACAAGCGTCCCGTAGTCCCTCCTGTACCGTCAAGGGAGACCTTTCATCCAGCGGCGTCTGGCCCCGGGCAAGGGGCAGCCGGCGCGGCAGGGCCGGCGCCGCTCTCTGCCCCGCGCGCCTTCGCTAGCCTCCGGGAGAGCGGCCGAAGCTTACTGTAAAGCCGTGAAATAGCACACACTGCTTTCTTCCAAACAACTCAGATAGAAATAGGAGGAATACCGAAAGGGTTTTGGTAGCACACTTTTTAGTTTATTGACCTATACAAAATAATAGGTCTAAAAAATTCAGAAGTAGTAAAAGAATAAGCAAAAAGAGCTTTCGCGTTTCTAGAAGGCTATACAAATATGAAAAAAAAGAAATAAGTTATTTTTTATTTTGTTTTTGTTCGTTTAATTCCAAATCGCGACTCTAATAATACAAACGACTAAGTACCAGCTTAACAAGTGTGTCCTTCTGTATATATTACATGCTCTGGAATATTGGTAAAAAACGTCAAAAAGGTTTATCAGAAACTTTTCTATTCACAATATGAACAAGGAGTAGCTAATCCTTTGTATAAAAGAAAAAAGAGCACCATTGTATGGAATCCTGAAGCACAGTACAGCTGAGAAACGAGAGATATTTTACAGTATGCAAGTGACTTGCTGTAATTAGACAAGATAACCCATGCTAATTTGTTCCTACAGATGGATGATATGAGGTAGGTTTATGCCTCTCAGATCAAAACTGCAGTCGCACTTTTTTCGAAACAAATGGTTTTGTGAAAACGCTGTTCTGTCACTCAGTGACTTTGCAACGCACCTGGCAGTTCAGATGACTTGTGGTACAATTCTAATGCCCTTAATTTTAAGGCACCCACTTGGCTGCTTGCTTACGTTTGCCTCCACCTTAAAATACTGGCCATTACAATCAAATTGTTCAACGTGTGATAACTAGAGCGCTCCATTTTGATCCTCAACTCAATACGGCAGAGCAAAATGTAACTGTTATCCAATTAACCGTTCACTGTGCACCCACTGTGAAAATTTGCATACTCATCTGCACAATGATATTGTACCATGGAAAGTTCATTAAACGTGAGGTTATTAATTACACTTTATCATGGAAAAGAGTTCAAAGTTTACTGCTTCCGTTTCCAAAATCCACAACCACATATAGTTTTACATGACATATTGTGACAGCAAATACCTTTCTTTCCAGAACTTGTTTGTGGTGCTAACAAACACTCTTAACAACACCCTGAATATGCATAAACTCATTCAAACCTCCATAAAAAAAATCCAGCCTTCCTTCAAGTAATGATCCAATACTGATTAAGTCACCCTTTGCCTCGTTCACACACACAGTATCTATCCTTCATAAGCTTATGAAAGTCCTTCTAGGTCACCATAAGCCTCAGCAGAGGAAATTTCCATTTCTTCTTCTTTCGGACATGGGAATTGTGCTCCTAAAATTCCTGTTTTTCCATAAGAGTTTCCTTTTCACATTTTTTTTTTTTTGAGGTTTGCCTTCAACACCTTCCAATCTTCCAAAAAGTGCTTGCTAAATATAAATACTTCAATCAAGTGCTGCATCTTGTCATAGATTAAATTGTGGCTTGCCCTTGCTCACGGAGGCTATCTGGATTCAGAAAGAAACGCCGTTCTTGGTAAGACTGTAATTTTGCTATAGTCCCTCTTAATGCTGAATTTCAATCTTTCCCAGCAAGACAGGATACTTCCTTCTTTTTTGCTTTGGAAGCGCCACCCAAGATCTCCTTCAAAGTAACAGCATTTTGTGCAAGGCACGCAAGGGTACGAATGCAGGGCTGCAGGCGGTCTACACAAGTGTCCCAGGCTTTGAATCTTCATGCCAAAATAACCTCTGCTCGTTACTGTGCAAGTCGTCTTCCAACTGGCTCTCACCATCGCCACCCAGCTGGCTCGTCTCTGCGTATGCTCTGCAAAAGAGAGAGGGCATCAGCGATAAGCGTGAGCCGAGGACCTTCCCCAGACTCCCAGGTGCTGCTTTGGCAGTGCGTAAAGGGGAGAGGCTGAACCTCATCCCATCTCCGCACCACCAGTACAACTCACACTAATCCCATGGGACTTCAAGTAACGCTGGCTATTGAGAGTTTAACCCCAGCATAATTTGGATCCAAATACAACCCCAGATTTTGTGCTGTAATTCATCAGATTGTGAGCAGCAGGATCTGAGTAGCTCAATACTGTCAAGACTGTAGAGCATTATCAATTGCTCCGTTGCCATAATCACATTAAAACAAAACAGATGAATGACTGAATGAGGGCTTCAGAATACGGAAAATTAAAAGCTAATATACCTCATATAGATAGAGCTGTCAAAATAAGCAGAGTTTTTCAAAGCCCAATTACAGAAGTTAAGAAATTAGTAGAAATTGTATTTTTAAACACTGTTACGGTAGATCTTTTTAATCACTGCAATAAAAAAGCCTGAGGCATTTAGTTTAAAAACAAGGATCTAGGAGATCTTTTCTTATGCTTTGGTTTATTTTAAAACAAATGAAAAACTCAGTAACTGCACACAAGCCAGCCGGGCAGCAGGCACAAACTGCAATCCATTAAGCAGGACACACAAATGTGGAGTACTTACTACAGCTGGCTACACCGAGCATAAGAGCACTTAAATACGATCGCATTTCTGCGGGCAGCGCCATTCCCCTGGACAGAAAGCCTCTGTTCTCACTGATAACAGGTGGCGAATGAGAGTGGAGGGAGGAGACAGAAGACACCAAGTAGAAGAAGCAAGCGAGCCGCATGAACCTCTGTAATATTGGAGTGAAATCCTGCTCCATGGGTTAAGCTCTCCCTCAAGA